GCTGTATGCTAAAATCGTTTAAACCTTAATCTATTTTCAATCTTTTTGATTAACTAGTAGGGAATTTAAAAGGGATAAAATACACTATAGGTAAACATGAGGGGGAGAAAATTAAAACACAATTACTTGAATTAGGTAAGTAATGTGTTCTTGTATACTGGAATGTCACTTCAATCTGTATTTGTAAACCGTAAAAGTATAAATATTTATTGCGTACAATATAAATTGCAATGAAAATTTAAAAAGATGCTAGTTGATTCGGTTGCTTGTTGAAAGAAATAATGTGGTCATGTTTTTTTCAGTTCTGGCATCCTATAGTCACTTTTTTTACAATTATTATGATAAATTACTTGCCATCTAATACCCAGAACTGGTTTTTGCAAGCAAAAATGTATTTTCTTTGTTTGTGCAAACATGCATTTGTCTAAGTTTGTAACAGGTAGTTTTTTTTCATTGTCTGTACCTTTCCTAATATATATGCTTTGATATATTCTGACTCTTCCCTTTTTAAGTGTTTATAATTAAATATTTATTTTGTCTGTAATTTTACTTGTATTTACGAACATTCATTTTGATTACTTATGATGCATTACTTTAAAATGCATTTATTTTATAACCTCTAATTATTTACTATGTCGCACTACTTGCTGTGATATATAAATTCTAAATGAATATCATACTGTTTTTGTTGCAGAAGCATTCTGCCCGAAGTGAGAATGTTGTCTTGGATAATTTAAGCCTAAATTGAGTATAATTTTAAATGATGATCAAATTTGTATCCAGCATAGACTTGCCCGTTTCAAAATTTGAAGCCCAATTTTAAAATTATAGGGGAGACTTAATCCCTTTTTCGGTTTTTAATTTTTATTTTGGAAAAAACAAAATTTTTAAAAAATGTTTTCAGTCATTATTAAAGGCTTATTTGTCTTTTTTGTTGTAGTATTTTTTTTTTATTTTTGAAAAACCATTTTTAAAATAAAGATAAATTGTTTTCCAACAATTCAAAAAGGGATCATGTCTCCCCAATTGCAGGGAGGCTTGATCCTTGAAATAGATGAATTGAAATGATTCAAATTAAGTAGTCGAAATCAAATTTATTGTTGACTAACATGTCAAAGGGGAGAAAAACACATTATTATATTATTACACATTCTACATTATTGAAAATCACTGTTTCCCATATGAATGATTGTTATTGCTGAAATTAATAATCAAATAACATTTTCAAAGCTTTAAAAATCAAAAATAAATGTTAAAATTCTTGCAGTTCAAAGAGTTCCATCAAGCATGGCTGGTTTAATTAGTTTTTTGACAATGTCGTCATTGTCCACAACACTAATGTCACTATTTTCTGGATAAATAAATTGGTTGGAATGAAGTCCTTTTTTTCTTAGAAAATTTATTTTGCATTCAGATGATGAAATCTTCTTTTCAATTTTTTCTATGTAATGACTAATTTTCTCTTTCCGTGAAACCGTCACCATGTTCTTGCTAACCATCATGTGCAGCCACATATTAACTTTCTACCTATGTCAACCATCCAAAATCAAGGTAACCATATTCTAAATAATATTGATATTATCTAAATGTGACTTGAAAATCACAATGGCCAGTAGGGGGGTTAATAAAATTGTCAATATTAATTTAACTTTGGGGACACTTGATCCCAGAATCATGTCTTCCCATACAATGGGGATCAAGTGTCCCTAATGTGCATGTGTTGGAAAAAGAATTGTTAAATCAAAAGTAAAGAAACTGTATTGGATGTAAATAACAACATTTAAGCAGTAAAGAATGTTAGTATATTATATCAATAAACTTAAGTAATTTAGTTATATTTAGCAAAAAATAAGAAACATAAACTACCTACTCCAAAAGAAGTTTGACTATAAGAAATCAGAGATTCCTTTCTTACAACAAAAATAAAAATGGCTGAATGAAATTCTGTTGTCAGATCTGTTGATAAGGAATCACTTTTTTAGTGTTGCTAGTTTCAGAGACTTAATTGCATTTTGTCTCTGGTTTTAGACCTAGGGATCAAGTCTCCCCTACTGTGGCAGCTTGTGAAATAGTAATATCAAACATGAGTCAAGAAGCAGTCTCATCATCAAGCTGTCGATGCTTTTGCCAACCTTCAAGTTCTGAGCAATAACTCTTCAAATTAGATTTAACATGGTTTAGAAAAAATTCGAGCTTGGCAGCTGCACGTGTTCTCGAGTCCAATCAAAAGATGCTTGTTTGTCAGCAGTCACTCAATTCTTTATTTAAAGATAGAATTTATGACTATAGATTACAAGACCTTTACGTGATTTGAACATGCAACCAACAAGTGGTGGATTCCCACTTAAATGCAGTTTAGAAGTTTTGACTATCTGAAGTCGTGTAAGAAAAGTCTGCTGCTTAAAGCAGCAATCATTTTACTTATAACTAGCTGATGACCTGATGCTGTTTGGGATATAAATTTTTTCATATGCCCTCCTCTGTTCCTTTTTCTACAAATATTGTCACTATCTTCCCCCAACAAACATAAATATCCTTTGAGTCCTTTCTTGTTGAATGAAAATGCAAGAAATTTGGAAAAAGAACATTTCTTTTTTGCAGTTTATCGAACAAAACTAGTACAACTTTTAAAATGTTGCCAAAAATATGCTTGCAAAATAAAACATCAAAAGAAGAAGAAATGCATGTACTAATAAATAAAAGAGCAGAAGCATAATATTTTGCCTCGTACAGTGCTCGTAATAATGGGAAAAAAATTTTCAGAGAGAGGATAGAAGAAAGATATATCCAAACACATGTTAGCTGCCACTTCAGCTAATCCATGATTATACCAAATTTGGTTCCAATATGTCAAATGGTCTGGGCATGTATAACAAAGACAAAAACAAACATACACTCACGCAAATAAGCTCTTATAAACATATATGGATAGCATATTTAAAAATAATTAATAGAATTAGGTATATAGAAAGTAGAAGTAGTTGGTTTCATCTCGAGCTGAAAAATATCAAGCGACTGTCAGCAGATATCAATGTTTGATGTTGATATTTCACAATGCTGATTTACAAACCTGTGTTTAATTAAAGTAGTAATTCCTAAATTTGTTTTCTAGTGTAATATGTTTTATAACATATTTTGAAATGCTACATTCCTGAATTTTATAGACTAGCCTACCTTTCATTTTGTTTCTCTGAAAATTTATAAATAATATGTAACCAGTGCAGCACTTTGAAAAGGTCATTGATTTAATGTGTAGGGGTGGCACTGTGTGTATTTGCTTATGTCAGTACAAATATTTATCCTTAGATGTTATAGTGTAGCTAATTCCGCAGGTGTTTGTTCTTAAGTGTTTCCTGAAATTTGAGTCGTGAGTAGTTTAATATATTTGAGAGAAAAATCATCTCTTTTGTCTGTGTTTTCTGTAGTTGCCACCCCTTATTTTAAAATATTTTTATACTTGTGTGTGGAAACCTGAAATGTTAACATTTGTGAATCAAAAGTTAAATAAAATTTTTATACAAATGATTTTGATGAATTTTGTCAGCAGTTTTAATGTACCTTAGTGAGAAAAGTGTAGTTTAAGAATGTCCAAAAGCCATTAAGGAAGTAAGTTCTGTCTGGTGATTAGTGTCAGACACACTTGCACACAAAACTTTTATTATACCCTTTAGAAGACTACAAGCAGTACAGTATTTTTCGAAATAATCAATCCTGAAATTGAAGTACTTGTCATAAAATTTTAAAATTCCTTCTTCAAAAAGAAAAATTGTCACTAGGGAGTAAAGCTAATCTGTAGCAATATAGCTGAGCCCATTGTCTAAGCACCTCAATGCAAGCTGCTGTTTCTTATGCCTGGATAGGTAGTAGTCGCATGGTGCCAAATCTCGGCTATGAGGGTAATCATCAAAGCTATCTCAACGGAACTGCTGTAAAATTTATCTTTGTATCTGGAGATGAGTATCGTCTCCACACCAGAACTCTGCATGCATCTATGCCTATTTTTAGATGGTTCATCTGAATCTGTAATTACACAGATTGCAATGAATTGCATCAATTGATTATTGAAACCTTCAATTGACTGCAACACAACCTTCAAATTTCACTCATCAGCACCTAATGAACATCTGTACACAGTGCCTTAGGAATGCATTGCTATCCACACCTAATTTCTCACACTTGTGCAAACAAAGCTTTCTTCAAGGGATTATTACGTTCAGGATTTTTTACCCTCTCAAATTCGTAATTTCAGAATATTCTTAGGTTAACTATCTCTCAAATTTTGATATAGAACAAATATATTCTTAAGATGGTGTAATAATTTTAGATTATATCAAAATCAATGAATTGTCCATAATTCTGGTTGAAGTAAATTAGTGATATTTTTTTTTAATGTATGTGTAAGTGCAGGGGTGTAGTTGAGCCAAAACGGCATTCCGGCACTGCTTTATTTCATAAGAAAAAAATTTTGAAATTGTTTTAAAACAGCATGTTTTTTGTCACCCATGTTAGATTGTTTTGGCACTGCTTATTTTGCGACTACACCACTGTGTTAGTGTATCAAATTACCAATCTACAATTATTCGATATTAGGTCAGATTTTTACATCACGATAGTTTTCAGAATTTTTGAGATGGGGTCACAGTTGCCCTTCTTACTTTCCGAATCATCCTCACTCTAGAAATTTCATGACGTCATAATTTTCAGGTCTGTGTACTACCAACTATTCAGAAACTAATAATTTTAATATCCAGTGGAGTAGCTGCATCTTTTGCCAATCTTCCAATATGCTGCTCTTCCGTTACAAGTAAGATAGGATACTTAAACCAGAAAATAATAGTGAAATAATTCCAGGTAAAAAAACATTTTATCAGTAACATTATTTGTAGTTTGGCACCTTAGATTTTTGTGGATACATAGTGAAATCGCTCATCCACTATCAGTCTTTCTTTCACATATCGGCATTTAACGACAAAAGACGAAAAGTGCGAATCTTTTAAAGAGGTCACGGTAGCCTAGTGGAAAGGTTTTGGTTTTAGGGCCGAAGGGTTTCAGGTTCGAAACCTGATTCCACTGAAGATCCTTCATGTATTGGACCTGTTACATGCCAAGTCATATGCAGGGGGGCGAAAAGTCCTCCATCTGGTGTGGTGCAGAAGCTTGGAAAGGGGTGCGCTAGCTCAGGCGTCGTCCTTGTCATCTGACCAAGGTTCAAAATGACGAGGTCCATCCCAAAATAGCCTTCGTG